TGGAAGGGATCCAAATCACTGGCCCGAGCCACTTGAGTTCAAACCAGAAAGATTTATGAATAGTGATAAGGGGGTGGATGTTAGAGGCCAGCATTTCCATTTGTTGCCATTTGGCAATGGTACAACCAATGCTCGCTGCCATGATACAATGCTTTGATGGGAACGTCGACTATGGCAATGGGATGGTGGACATGACAGAGGGGCCAGGGTTGACACTACCTCGAGCTCAACCGTTGATTTGCAAGCCTGTTGCTCACTTGAGTCAGATGCCAATTGCTTGACAAATGCAGGGTAGATTGATTACTGGCTTAATTTGGATTCCTTTTAATTAAGGGTTGATTGCGAATAGACCCCTTTAGTATTGTTGTTGTTTTGAACTCACTACCCCTCAAGTTCTATTGTTGCAGATTAGTACGTTTGTTAAAGTGGTCTGACCCCTTCCTAGACCCTGCGCATAGGGGAACTTCGTGTACTGGGCTGCACTTTGTTTTAACCCCAAACAACGAGAAAATTGTTTTCTAACAAATGGACCCATTGGGGTAAAGTGTCGGGAAAAAAATTTCACTCAGGTGGTCAACATGCAATAACAAACTGAGCGGTAGTATGTTGAATACAGCAATGATACAGTGTTCTATTCGCAATTAACCCTTTTATTTAAGTTTGCGTGATATAAATTTAGTCTGTGGTTAGTCGAGAAACTTTATTATGTGGATTTCAGTTCATTTGGTTAAAAAAAATTGCAAATGCTAATGGTTAACTTTCTTTGTTAGGATCACAATTCTTATTGAAGCCAGAATTCATGATTCCATGTGAAAATTATTGATCAAGAGTTAACCCCAAGAGAGTCAAACAGTCGATAGAATTTGGACAGTGGCAGTAACTTCACGTAAGGGGAGAGGTAGGGATCCATCACCAGGTTCAAGTAGCATCGCCTTATCGACATGTATCTTCTTTCCTCCCATTTTAGGGGAGAAGCTGGTGCTTCTCACCACCTTCTTATTTCAATATTTAACATCAGTTATGGGAAGGTGAAAGTATTTCAGAAAATAAATATTCCAATACACCTTAATTTGAAATTTGTACACTGGTTTCCAACTTTGCAACACCTTAGCCTGCATCAGAAGCATAAACAATATTAGATTTAGAGATATCCATCTTGTGCTATATTAATTGATCATCCGTAAGTTATAAATGTATATACATTTTCCTCAAAGAGTGAAACAAACTATCTCTATATGAAGTCCAAGTGAGCTAGATTAGAAAGGGAGCCAGGTACGAGGTTGCCTTGAGTATGAAAATCAAGTGATGAGTTCAGATCATATGTAAGATCCATTTATTCTAAAATTGGTCAGCAATGAGCCATTGCTCTCAATTGTTTAAAGTTTTGTTTAAGCAGTGAGTGCAGATTTTTCTTCTTCTATCTTTTTATTACTTTTTTACATG